CCCGGGGGAGCGGGGCGCCCGGCAGCCCCTCGGGAAGCTGCCGGGGTCTAATTAAATAGGGGAATTGAAAGCCCGCTTGGCCAGAAATGAGAATAAATAAATAATGTGTGTTTGGAGCCTCAGTGCGAGGAAAAAGATTCAAACTGCTGATAACACATGTTTGTGAGTTGGTTCTGGTTTTTTCTAGTGTTTATAGCTCTAGGTCCAGAATCTTACCGAAAATATAAGTGTCCAAATAATATTGTGCCGTTCTCTTTATGGGAGTGCTGGGGAATTCTGTCCATGAATTCAGTTATTCTTCCTATTGTGAGTTTTAAACTGTGTACTTTTAAGAAGCTTACATTTTTGTGAAAACAATCCAAGAAAGCATTTTTTTTTACTAGATAAAAATAAGTCCAGAAAAAAAAATGTAATGACTTTTTGTTTCTGGAAAAAAAGAGGTTAAAATATATTTGTCTAGCCGTGAGTGTTAAGCGTAAAAGCTGCTGCTCATCTGGGAAATAGATCTTGTTACCATAAGAGCTGCTCATCTGGAAAATAGATTTTGTTACTGGCTTAGTGCAGAAAGTACTTTCCATTCTGAATGATTTTGGTGTGCTTAAGCAATAAGTAACTCTGAATTGAATTATATATTTCATCTATTTTGTTTCCTAAAATATTTGCCGAAATATGTATGTATTGTAAATATTTCTAATTATTTTCTAATATTTTCCTTTATATCCAAATATTTCCTGATAATGACTTAGGAAACAGAAGGGAAGTGTGTCTCGGATCAGACAGGTTCCTATTGACAGGGAGATGCTCCTGTGGCTGGGGTTTGGGTCTGGCGTGGTCTTTTGTCAGAAACACTCAAGAATGTGAGTGAGACTTGCTTGTCTTGAAAATGACCAGTGTTTCTGTGCGTGGTGAACTTGAAGGAAGGTTGTGTTTTGCTGTCTTAAGGTTTCTGATTATTATTCTGGCTTTGGTTTTACTTCTGTTGTTTAAGGAGAGTTCGGCTGGGGTTTTATTTTTTTGTTTGTTTTTTTTCCTTCCTATTTATGCTTTCAGTCTTGGCAGTCTCTATGCAGCATCCCAGGATTTTTGTATCGTGCAGTCTGTGTAGCTCCCAAATCTTTGTATTGGATGTGCTTCAACTTTTTGGTTTAGTATCTAAAACCTGCCCTGTCCAGATGATACTTAGTCATGTTTCTCTGGATTGGGAAATGCGTCGCTGGACTCGGGCCAGTGCTGTTGGGGTCAGCTGTGATGTTTGTGTCAATGTTTTACCAACTTGTTGAGCTCAGTTAACTTTCAACTTCTTGAAATTTGTCCTGTGTAATTATCTGAGCGCGTTTCACTGCTTGTATTGAGCAATGACAAACTCAAATTTGAATAAAGCGACTCGACTGAAATTTCATGTGCCTCCATGACCGTATCATTTGCCTGGTACGTGGTCCACTCCCACTAGCTGAAAGCGGAGGTGAGGAAGAGAAGTGCAGGCCCAGCGTCTCTTGTCGCGGCGCTCCCAAGTGGGTTTCGTTGGGAATCTCTGCAGTGGAACAGCTGTTGCTTCCATCCTGCTTCAGGTGTGTGCCGAACGTGTTGATGATTGCTGCTCATTGACAACGGCAGTAGCTGGAGCCCGCTGACAGTGATCCTGCTG